ATATAAAGAAAATAGCGAGCCGATATGATTTTATCTTGTTATTTGCCATCCCTTGCAAGTTTTCAAAAGTGTGTGTACTAAAAAGCAACAGGAATAGCCATTATTTCACCATTCGTCACGAGAATAGGTATACTGAATGCCAATATAATGTTGTGTATGAGATACTATTGACACGTGGAAGCGTAAACATAAGACAAACTGGGCAATGCCCCAATGTTTGAGCAAGACAGCATGCTTAAAATGTTAAGAATGGCTATGGTAGTCGCATGGCCATACACTGTAAAGAATGTAAGTGCAGCTCTATGTTTCATAAAACACTGTTTTTGAAAAAAGCAAGAATAAGAAATGAAAGAGAGACTGTGAAAGCATTTTCTTGTCAGGAAGGCCATGGATCAGTGCATCAGTATACCTTCACTCATCCATTCGGAGAGAGAGTATTCTTTTCTCAGTTAAGATTATATTATCATGGTCTCACATGTGTCGTTGTGCATGAGCACTGTTCTTGTACTCTGTAAAAAAGTGGGCGTAGTACCTTCAATAAAATTTAGTTGGCAGTCAGCGCTCTTTCCTGTCCTTTTTGTCTCTTCCTGAACTTCTCTCACTGTTACTAGAACACAACCACGATGAACCAACTTGCCCAGATTAAGCTATTGTTGACGAAAAGTCAGAGCATGAAAACACTTCAGGGGCTCAGAACCTCCTCACTACCCGTCTAGTTACGGCCCTGGTCTATGTGTTCCGAGAGTGAAGCACTAGTGGAGCTATCTAACTACCTAACGGTGAGGAGGGTTTGTGTATACTCGAGCTTGTTTCATGACATGGTGAGAGGTGGCAGGTTGTTGAAATGATATGCTGTGTGGGAGGTCAAGATTTTGATTGAGAACGCTGAGTATGAGCCAGTGACATTAGGCGTTCAAGACTTTTTGCGATATTCACTCTAGCATAGGACCTTGGTTGGTGATTGACGTGTGCATTTGATCACATTGTAGTCTTCCATCATAATTTTTTTGCCACTTGGCGTCGACGCTCTTGGGTTGTACCAAAGTAATTAAGCATCCAGCTACAAGTATCATCTGTCAGTGTTTCAATGAAGAGCTGAATATGAGTAATAGCTTCCATCGATACTTCTGGCATTGGTGTATGCACATTTCTTTTGAAGTTCTCTTGAAAAAAGGCATTAAAGGTATGTTTTTGTGACTTTTTAGTGTTGGCCAGAACTGCTGGTGTGTCCGAACGGCTCTTCGATTGGTTGTGGAGTTGTCTTGTTCAGGGCCACAGAGCTTTCAGTCTTTTTTTATATTTGCCTTCACAGGAATGCTCTTTGCATGCTTTTTCAGTACTTTGTATTATTCCTAAAGCATTGACTTCCAGATTTTGATTGTGGTGCTTTAATCTAGTGTTCAACTTCACGCTAGCTTCATTTGCACGCAAAGCAAGAACTCATGAGTATGGTAACTTTTGCTATGGGTTTTCCCTTCTTCAGTCTACTGTATTTTTGCCTGTGTTGTCTAAGCGCTGACAGCCTCGTGCGACAGCTTTTTTTTTGTGCACTTATTGTGTGCCAATGACTTATTTGCCTCCTCAGCTAAAGACTTTTTGTATTATAAGAGAAAGCTCTGTCTGTATTGCTTTTGTCATTTGCTGATGGTGTATCTTCAGTATCTTTTCTCAGTGTACACTATACTTGAATGGAAGAGCAGCATGACTACCTTCAGCTGTTAGCAGGCTTTTAGCTGCTGTAATACTGATTGATGCTCCTTTCTCGGGCATTCTATTTTGGGTGGTTGGCATGTCATTGCTTCTTTTAAACTTTAAAACTGCAGGTACACCTTTTTCTGGTTACACCTGGTATATTTTTCCAGTGGTTATATATATATATATATATATATATATATATATATATATAAATATATATATATATATAAATATATATATATATATTGCTAACTTGAGAAACAAGGCCTCTTTACGTTAGGTGCACATCAGGTGGGAAGAGTACTTCTATTACTTGCCAAGATTGTGGCCCCTTATGGTGGGAATCATTATGCACTGTTGATGTGTCAAATTCACATAGCATAATTCCAAGGCACTCGATCAATATCCAAGGAAGAAAATTATGTTCTTTTGCGTGAGTTTCAGCAACTCATAGTAATTTGTATGTAAATGAATACTTCATCATTCTTGGCTGTCATGTTTTATGGAAGCACATGTGCATCGTTAATAACAAAAAAACACAGTGGCGTGAGCGTGCGTGTTTTTTTTTTTGTTATTAACGATTTGCCCTACGCATTCACGTTTCTTCTTTTTTTTTGTGTGTCGTACTTCTCGTATCGCGCAGCCTACCGTTTAGGGGACACGTAAAAAAAGTACATATAAAAGATGCGTTCCACGCCGAAATTCGCGTTCGCAACGAGCTGGGCACCGACAGGGTGCCCTACGACGCCCACACACTCCGCAACACCTTACCAACCGTTCGCTGCGATGTTGTTGGGAATTCGTGTGGTCGTTACATGAATATAGCGCGTGCGTGCGTGCGCACGCGCGTCTGTGTGTTAGATCACGGCAACTGCATATGTTGTATGATTCAGTCACCATAACGCAACTGACGACCCCCGCTCTTCCCACACGTCAAGCAGCAGCAAGCGCCGTTAACCGTACTGTGCTGTGAACGCAAAACAGATTCGAATAGGTCGCGTAGATAGCTAGCCCGACACATGATACGATAAGATTTGCGTCAGATATTCGACGTCTACATGCACGCGTAAGACAGCGGTATCCGCAGCAGGTTCGTCATACGTACGAATAGCACCGCATCGGACGTCACGTCTGTCAGAGAAACTTGATCGGTAATTTTTTCTCACTTAAAAAGTCTACCTTGCACAACTTCAACCAACGATTATGAATTTCAACGAGCTGTGCATGGTTTAATGATTGATTGATATGTGGGGTTTAACGTCCCAAAACCACCATATGATTATGAGAGACGCCGTAGTGGAGGGCTCCGGAAATTTCGACCACCTGGGGTTCTTTAACGTGCACCCAAATCTGAGCACACGGGCCTACAACATTTCCGCCTCCATCGGAAGTGCAGCCGCCGCAGCCGGGATTCAAACCCGCGACCTGCGGGTCAGCAGCCGAGTACCTTAGCTACTAGACCGCCGCGGCGGGGCATGGTTTAATGACGAAAAGATAGTTCTAATATTGTGCCCGGCACATATATTACTCTCTCTCTAACTTGAAAAATCGGCGCGTGAATTGGGGCCAGAACAGCGCCAAAAAGCAGCACACGCAGAAATTGGCTCATATTCTAATATTATGACATCGTGATGTTGACTTTTCAGCTGACGCCGGCAATAACGTTCAAACGGCGGGCCAATAATGCCGGTCTTATTGGATGGCTCCGCCCATATTGGCTGCTACTTGTACAACCTGGCCCGATGTGTCCGTTTTAATAGGCCGGCACAGCCTATATGGGCGGAAAGTTCTGAAAGCTGGCCCAATATAACCAATCTAATAGACTGGCACAGCCATCATTGGCGGAATGTTGTTAATGCTGGTCCAACATAGCCGTTCTATTCGGCTGGCAGAACCAATATTGGGGATACGTTGTCAACGCTGGTCCAACGTCGCCTTTCTATTTGGCTGGCATAGCCAATCTTGGCGGTACGTTGTGAAAACTGGGCCGTTCATGGGCCAGGCAATGCCGATCTATCCCCAATATTGGGCCAACCTTCTGTGCTGCCTGGGATAATAAGGCATTTTTACTTAAACGCAACAACTGCTTAACCCCGGATGCACCTTCCTCCCGTCTGCCGAAATAGCTCAGATGGGAGAGCGTTATACTGAACATTTCAAAGTCCTTGAATTGATCGCGGGTTTCCACATCCAAAACACTTGTTTTGTTATACAAGAATTTCGACAATACATCTCATGAGAGAAACAATGATGGAGGTGAACGCACATGCTTGAAAAAGAAATGCTTATTCAGAATGCATAGTTGCAACAGGCATTGCAAAATTACCGGGAATGCGAGAAAGAAACAGAATACTGTCCAACAGCTATAATAAAGCAGTTTTACCGAAACTCCACAACTATTAAGTCCCAGTTTAACTGTCCCCCTATCTTTCAAAATAGATATGTTAGGTTAGGATTAGAGTGAAGATATAAAGGTTTCTCGTTTCGTCGCGGATTTTGGCATCCAAAGCACTTTTTTGTTACTAAGATTGGTATAAAAATTTTTCAAGACAACTCATCAGTGAAACTTTTATGCAGGTGAACACACATGCTTGATAAAGAAACTTTAATTCAGAATGCACTAAGGAATCACGCGTTGCAAAAGGTAATAAGCAGCGGGAGAGCATTGTAATAATATGCAACAGCTATAATAAAGTGGTTTTTGCGAAACGCAACAGCTGTTATGTTCCGGTTTCACTCTCCTCCCTTTTGCTGAAGTAGCTGTGTTAGCAGAGCGTTAGAGTGAAGATCTGAAGGGCCCTGCTTTGATCCCGGGTTTCGGCATCGAAAGCATCTTTTTTGTTAAATTCGGTATACAATTAATTTGGCAGTACATCTCATGGGTGAAACAATTATGCAGAAGAACACACATGCTTTTAAAGAAATGCTAATTCATATTGCATCATGGCAGCAGGTGTTGCAAAAGGTAACGGAACAAAGAGAATAAAGTGTTATAATGCGCAACACCTATCATGAGACATTTTCAGCAAAACGCAACAACTTTTTAGTCCTGGCTTCAATCTCCTCCTATCTGCTGAAATAGCTATGTTAGGAGAGTGTAACCCCCAAATGCAAAGATGTTAGTTGACTCGTACTTGACTCGTTCTTGACTCAAGACAGTCTTGCCGGTCACCATAAATCGTTCTCGAACTTGAGGATGACTTGAAGGCGACTTGGCTTGGTCCAAGTCAGGACTAGTTTCATGTCAGCTGCGGGGCTAGCTTGAAAGCGACTTCATGCGTTATTCCAACATGGCCACCTCTCGAATGGACGTCGCGTGGAGGTTGGCCGCTTTTGAGTTCGCGTGCCACGCCATGGATGTTGTGTTTTCGGAGGCCCATTACCTGCCGAAGATTCCACGGCCCGCCCTTCGTGACCGAGGAAATCCGATGGAGCTCTATGACGAGGAACAATTTCACGCTCGCTACCAGTTCACGAAGCACGCCGTGTGGCAGCCGCTGTGTATGCTGCCGCTCCAAGAAAGCGGGGACAATCGAGGTCAGCCTGTGCCACCTATGCTGCGGCTGTTGATGGTGCTGAGATTTTACGGCGCTGGGCGTTTCAAACAGTGACCGGGGACCTCGTCCGCAATCCGCAGTCTACAGTGTGCCGTGCAGTCGGAAAAGTGACCATGCTGATAGCAAAGCACTTGTACTCCATACTGCTGCGCTTTCCGCAGCCGGCGGAATTTCAACAAGTTATTCGGGACTTCTATAAAGTGGCCGAATCCCCTGGAGTGACGGGATGCATAGACTGCACGCACGTGCAGATTAAAAGCCCCGGCGGTGAAAATGCCGAAGTGTTTCGCAACCGCAAAGGCTATTTCTCCTTTAATGTGCAGGTAAGCAATGAAATTTGAAAGTCTCTGAACAGTTTAGTTCGTTCGTTTTTTTTCAAATAATACTCGGGTCGTAAACTTTTTTCCATACAGTAAACAACGTCCTTGTGTTTAGCCATTGCTTCCATGCATTAGCGAAATAAGTAGAGCGAGAAAATAATGCAGCAGTTATTCGAGGGGCCCGGCACTCGCGCCTTCGTGCTGTGTTTTGCTGAACTCGAGTTTTTGCTCCGGAAGGCAGGTTTCGTGAATATTTTCGAAGAAACAGTACTGTTTGTATCTTGTCATCAAAATACACTCTGACCGACCATGACTCTGTGCAACAACAAACATTTCCGCTGTGCATGTACTTTATAGCGAACCCGCAAAGTGAAAGGCGCTATACAATGCCGTGTTTATGATTGTTTGTATGCTGATGCAGGCTGTGGCTGGAGCAAAACTCCAGTTTTTCGACAATGCGGCTCTGTTCACGACAGCAGAATTATTGACAACTCCCGCTTGCGGGTGCTGTACGAAGAAAACCGGGTGCCTGGAGTGCTATTGGGCGACGCTGGATACGCATGCCAGCCATATTTATTTACACCGTTTTCAGAACCAGGCCCCATGAACACACCCAAGGGAAGGTAAGTTCACGTGTCAGTTCATGGTCACAAAAAGCCGAAGCACGTTTTTGTGGTGTGACATTGAATCCAGTCGCTTGTGGAGGGATGCACAATATTCGTTCATTCGCCCAGGTACCAAAAAGCCCAAAGAAAGACTCGGAACATCGTGGAGAGGGCGTTCGGCGTGTGGAAGAGGCGTTTCCCTTACCTGGACATGGGAATGCAGCACAAGGCCAAAAACATTGTGCACATAATCACAGCTTGTGCTGCACTCCACAACTTGGCCTGCTTATTAAGGGAACCAGAACCACCCGCTCAAAGGGTTCCGCAGCCTTCCCCTATCAGTAAGTGGCAACCAGAACAGTGCACCTGCCACCTGTTGATCGCCTCACCGACAGCCGTTCAGGAAATCAAGCACGGGACCTGCTCATACGCAAGAGCTTCACATAGTCAAAAACTGCATAACTTTCGACACTCGGTCATACAAACTCTTTTTATGGCGGCTGTGCACGCTCATACGTTTATCAACCATGCATGAAAATAAATATACACTGACATGCTTTCATCATATTATGAGATATCCCATCATTTATTTATAATTGAGGCACGTTGCATTGCAGCCTGTGGAGCTGTTCCTTCTTTAATTCTTCTTCTATCTCCAGTATGTCAATTTCAAGTTGTTGCTTTTCAAGCTCGTTTTTGAGCTTTGAAAGCTCGAGATATCGCACTTGATTCTCGAACTTTCTTCTGTCTTCCCGTTCCTGCATCTTGTAATCGTGGTCCTCTTGCATAAGCCAGATACGCATTGCGTGCTCTTTTTTCTGGAGTTCTGCACGAATCGCATTTTCTGTGGCCAGTGTTTTTTCCAAAACAGCCATCTGGCCCCTGGGTGTCCTGTATGTTTCAGCAGCAACAGTTGCTGCAGGAGTGCTGCTTCCAGCAGCTCCGGTGGCTTGGTGGTTGTTTGCACAACCTTCCACAGAAATGTTTGCTTCTGCATCAGGCTGTGCTATAGAAGTGCACCTGCTGTCCTCGTCGGCATCTGTGCCTGTCGGAAAGTGTGACGGCTCGACAGGGTTGGCACCTTGCCACAGATTGTCTGCAATAAAGAAAAGATGGCATAATGGTACTAGTGGAGCATTGTTTATAACGCAAACACCTGTACACCACATGTAAAGAAGAGGCATTTCTGGGAAATACATATCGTTAAATTTTTGAGATCATCATTACGCTCTAAAATGCAACACACCATACCTTGGCAATCAAAGTCCGCTTCATTTCGACTATCAGTCATAGGCTGCAGCAGCCTCACCACAGGCAGACTTCTGACGGGGGGTGGTACCCTGTGGCGTCCGAATCAAAGGCGTTTTCCACCCTTGTCGCCATGTGGGAAGCTATGGATCCAACCAATTCGTAGACAGGAGCCATGGGCGAAGGTGTAGATCCCCCTCCTAATCAGAAATAAAGTTTCATCGCAGAATGAAGCAAGTTTTCATAAACATCTTGTACAAAAAAAAAACTCTGCAGTTCCAATGTTCCTCTCCCCTGAGTTGAGTGTAATGTAGTTTACCTGGTTCAACTCAAAGAAAAAAAAAATAGCAAAACATTGCGAAGAACAAACAAAAGCGCGCTAATCGCATTTTCCCTAAAAAAACGAAATGCGTCAGTTGTGCACAATTTCATCCTATTAAAGTTCTCGAAAAGTGTTTACACTGATTATGCATGTTATATGCCAACTTCAAGGCAGTTCTTCGAGGAAAATGTGATTTTGAGTACTTCTTTTTCTTGCCATGCACTGCAAAATGTAATGGTCATGACAATTTGCATTCAGTGCTTACATTTCTACCGAATACAAAACGTGTTGAAGATCAAAAGTGATGCAGCCATGCATATTATGTTTCCCTTACCAGTTTTGCGGCGCTCTCGCTTCTCTCTTGCAGCTCCCTTTTTCCATTTTTGTTTCAGGTTATTCCAGCAATTCTTGAGCTGCACGTGGTCGCGCCGGGTGATTCCGTGGTTGTAATTGAAGCGCTTGGCAATCTCTTTCCATGTTTTATTTTTTTTCTCTATCGACGCAACATCAGTCTTCTTGCACTCGATGATGTGCTTGAACTCTCCCACGAGAGCCATAAGCACAGTCTTCTCGTCTTCGGTGAAGCGCGGTGCCGCCTTGCGTGTAGGTGTCTCTTGGGACGATAGCATACTTTGCTGCGACATCTCGGAGTGAGTAGTTTTTCCTCCTTGACTCGACGATGTCGCTCAGAAAAGTGACGAGGTGGGCCTTGCTTTACCCAAAAGTCATTTCCTAGCAGACATTCCAGGAATTTTTTTCTCGTTTCGTGCAGCCGTGTGGGCTTGCAAAAAACGCCAGACATCCATCTGCAGCACAAATCTACAAAAACTTCACAAAAAAGCGGCTCTTTCTCGTGGTTTCTCCCCAGACTACAACAAGTTTTTGGGTAGAAGCATGAAGGTTTTCTGCGTATTTCCTCGTAGCTATGCATTGCAAAAGGGCAAATAAACCCTTCGTTCACCTCGCAGGCCTGTGCCCTTTTCATTGTTCTTGACAAAGCTTCCAGCAGGCATCCTGAGGCTGACCGTGATCGTGCCCCCCCCCCTCCACCCTTCACCTCACTAACATGTAAAACAAATTTGGGCTCATTTTGGTGAAGGCGAAATATCATGGCCATATACTGGCCCATATCTGTGCATGATAAATAACACCAGGTGGTCGAAATTTCTGGGACTTTCTCATCCAGCGTTCCTCATAGTAACATCATGGCTTTGGGACGTAAAACCCTCGATTCATAACGCATATGATCTCTGCTGTAATGCCTTCTATTGACAATGCAAATCAAAAGTACTTAAATATTACTATTATGACCCTTCCCCCTAGAAAAAAAGGACCGTAGAACACCGCAATCCTCCTCCGCTTTTTTTATCTTCTTAATGAATGTAGTTTAACTTTTAGCATTTCCGATTTGATTTAGCTTTTTTTTGTGTCAGCACACCCACAGGGGCTTTGTACATTGCGTGTTTTGTACACTGCGTTGCTTTTTTTGTATAAATATATGTGTAAATACAATATATACAAATACAGTATAAATACAACGTAGCCCGCTACAGGCATTTCCAATGGCGAATAGAAAGGCGAGTACGACGAGAAATCGCTATGCTTTCTTAACACTTGCGACCCAAAGAAGTGCCGCTGCATTCGATAGCAAAATACGATGAATGAACACCTGGAGAAACGCGCCTTTTTTGGGATACCACTGAAACCGGCTGAAAAAGGACGCTTTCCACAAACAACACTGCGCGTCGCGGCGCGGCGGGCATCACGGGGGCGTTCGGTAGCAGTAAAACAACAAAAATATGCTTTTAGCACTTTGAACAGATATGTATTTCGAAATATACGAACTTTTTTTTGCTTTGACACGTGCATTACGCGAACAACTTCAATATTAGCCTTGTTACCAGGCGAGCAACGTGTTTCTGTATTGAAGCACGTTCCTGACTTGACCAAGCAAGACAGCCTGAGCATCTATTAAACGCGAAGGCCGGCTTGAGCGTTTTCAAGTCCGCTGCTTGCTTCCCGCCGACTTGCTCAAGACATTCGGGGGTAAGAGTGAAGATTAAAAGGTACCAAATTAGATCCCGCGTTTCAGCATCCAAAGCACTTTTTGACAATTCTGTCGGTATACAATAATTTTCGAAATACATCTCATGAGTGAAAAAGTTATGCAGGTCAACACACTTGCTTGATAAAGAAATGCTAATCCGTAACGCATTGCAGCAGCAGACATTGCAAAAGGTAACGGAACAAAGAAAAATAAATGTATTATTGTGCAACAGCTATAATAGGACATTTTTACCAATACGCAACAATTGTTTAGCCCCGGTTCACTCTCGATCTTCTTTGTCAAGGTTTGAGGGACCTTTAGAAAGAAGATTTAAAGGTCCCTGGTTCTGTCTCGGGTTTCGGCATCCAAAGATCTTATTTAAGTCCATCCGTATACAAGAATTGTTCCAACATTTCTCATGAGCGAAACAATTATGCAGGTGAACACAGATGCTAGGTAAGGAAATACTAATCTAGAATGCAGTGTGGCAGCACGCATAGCAAAAGCTAACGAACAGCGAGAAGAAAATGTAATGATGCGCAACAGCTATCATAAGACATTTTTATCGAAACACAACAACTGGTTCATCCTGGTTTCAGTGTCCTCCCATCTGCTGAAGTAGTTTTTTATTTGTTTATTATACCGCGAAGGCCCCTATTCAGGGGTCTTAATTGAGGGGTTGGCATTTATTGTGAACAATGTCATTGGTGGCCTGTAAACAGTTTCAGTACATAATGTCTTCGATTGCTTCGTGAAAATGGGTGAGGCTGCAGTTTACAACGCGTCGGTTGGCATATCATTCCAGTGTTTTGCTGCTTCGATAAAAAATGCTGATGGCAGAGGTGAGGGTCTTTCCTGAGTAAACAGTCAATGGGTGGTTGATGCGGTCAGAGTGACGATGGACTTGTTCAATGACTGTTGTAGCAATGCGTGAATGATAAAACTTTTGAAACAAGCAGAGCCACTTGACTTAACGCTTTGTTACGAGTAGGGGAAGATTAGCTTATCTTTTTAGTTTAGTGATGCTTGTATGGTAGGAGTACGCCGAATAAACCTTTCCTCATGGTTTTTCACAGATTCAAATATATGAGATGAGTTAGAGAGGGGGATCCTAGAACGCACACGCGTACTCAAGTTTAGGTCGGACCAATGTTTGATATGCGAGCAATTTGACGGGTGAAGAACAAAAACGTAAAAACGGCACAGATACCCAAGAACGCCATTAGCATCGTTGGTCAAATTTGATATGTGAGTTAACCAAGTCAGATCTTGCGTTAAGAAAACATCCAGATATTTATAGGATTCGACAGATGAAACGTTAGAACTGCAAATTACGTAGCAATGCGGGACGTATGTCGTTCTGCAGTGGAAAGACAGTAATGAAGTTTTGAAGACATTAAGAGACATTAGCTATGTATTACACCAATTCATAATAATAATCAGGTCACGCAGGAGAACTAAATTGTCGTTACAAGAGCAAATGGGACGATACAAGACGCTATCTTCAGCAAATAGTCTAATGTTAGATTGAATAGTATTTGTCAAGTGAAAAGTGTAAACTAGAATTAGTAAGGGCCCCAAAAATGTTCCTTGAGGCACTCCTGAGAGAACGGAAGATAAACTAGAAGAGGGTAAGTCAGCGAATTCAAACTGCTTACGAATAGTTAAGAACTTTTGTAACCAAGTCAGTACAGCGTGGTCAAGGTTTAGACGAGATAGCTTCAGAAAAAAATCAGTTCTGTGGAACTTTGTCAAATGTCTTCTAAAATTCGAGAAATAGGGAATCTACAGGAACATTTTTATCAAAGCTGGTACTGACGTCGTTAATAAATAAGGCTAACTGAATGTCACGCGAGAGTCCTTTTAGGAAGCCATGTTGATTGGGGTGAAAAAAGTGCTGGTACAATAGGAATATTGTTATGTGGGAATAAATAACATGTTCTATTAATTTACACAATATTCAGGTGATTGAGATCAGACGGTAACTACTCTGGGCTGCTGAATTACTTTTTTTGGTACTTGAATGATCTTTCCCTCCTTCCAGTCCTCTGGGTCAACTCCAGATAATAGTGATTGTTAGAAGACGAGTGAAAGTATTGCACTAGATATGTGTTTAGTATTTTTTAGGATTTTCGAATTGATACTGTCAACACCCGATGGTGAATTGAGTTTCGGGGATCCAATCAGTTTGATTATACCATTAGCCTAAAAGGTAATTCCGGGAATAAAATGCGGTAATCCTGTATCAGGTTCTGGTGAACGCCGAGTCAAAGGCACAGTTCGATTTCTGGGCAACGTGAAAAGCTGGAATAGAACTGTTGCGTTCAGTACGCAAGCAGACCGGTTTTGAATGCTTCGGATTAATTATTTTCCAGAACTGTTTAGGGTCTTTCTGTAGCATACTAGATAGGGACGTGTTATAGAAAGATCACTTGGCTTTAGCGGAAAGCGAGAGGTAAAGTTTCCCAGATTGCCCCGCCGCGGTGGTCTAGTGGCTAAGGTACTCGGCTGTTGACCCGCAGGGCGCGAGTTCGAATCCCGGCTGCGGCGGCTGCATTTCTGATGGAGGCGCAAATGTTGTACGCCCGTGTGCTCAGATTTGGGTGCACGTTAAAGAACCCCAAGTGGTCTAAATTTCCGAAGCCCTTCACTACGGCGTCTCTCATAATCGTATAGTGGTTTTGGGACGTTAAACCCCACATATCAATCAATCGAAATTTCCCAGATTGGTGATAGGTATCCCAAGCACTCGGATTATTTTTGAGCTTTGCTGTTTTACATTAGAGTTTCTTTTTGTTCTTGAGGCGTTTGAGTTAAATAATAAACGAAGGGTTAGCTGGTGGTTCACTTACAGAAATAATGGGAAGGTATTTTTCAAGGAGAGTCTGCATTTTTTTCTTCAAAAGTAACCAGTTACTGTCCACTGAATAATCATTCAGTGGAGAAAATCCGGCAATATTTTCTTATAAAAAGTGATAAAGTTGAAATTCATGCTGAAGCAATCGCCTTTATCGTACAGCGTTATCATTTTTTCTTCGCAGCTGAACTGGCATATGGCCTTCAACTGGGATGTGGATAATGAAGTGGTCAGATAGCCCGGGATGAAAGTTAAAGGACGTAACGCTATCTGGATTTGAAGAAAGCACAAGGTCGAGGATCGTGGAACTGTTGTCAGTCTGTCTAGTTGAAGTAGTAACGATCTGTGTTAAACTAAGAGTAATGCATGTGTTCACAAACTCAGCTTCCGTGTTATGACTAGCTGTTGTCGCAGCAAGATTTGACCAGTTTATTTGCGGAAGAATAAAGTCTCCGAACAAAAGAATGGACGCCAGGCGATAGGAAGATACTAAGGAAAGAAGCGCACAGTGTAGATGAATGACAAATGATTGGTCAGCGTCGGGCCGAAGGTAGCAAACGCCAATAATAGTTGGTGGGCAACAAGCATTGCAGCGCACAAAGAGCAGTTCAAGAGGGGAAGAAACGTTGATGGCTGAGCACTGTAAACTTGCATGGATAGCTATTAGTACGCCATCGTCAAGTTTAGCTGATCCATAGCACCGAAAAATGTCAAAATTTGGGACGGCAGGTTTCAGTTCA